TTTGGTTACAACTTTATTGTCACAATTACGAGAAACAACCATATCAACAGTTATTGAAGTTTTTCCAATTTCACAAACACCAGAATAACATAACACATCACCAACATTAACAGGAGCAACCATTTCTAAATTTTTGACTGTTCGACAAACAAAGTGACAAGTTGGAAAATTAAAAACTGCACACAAATAACACTCTTCAACAAACCAAGAAGATGCTGTTCCTGCAAATAAATGTTGAGAAGGATTAAGAGCTTCAGGACGAACTAACCGTAATTGAATATGAGGTTTAGTAGTTGTCATAAATTCAAATAATTTAAAGATAAAAAAAAAGAAAAAAAAAAGAAAGAAAGTTTGTAATAAATAATAATACATTAATTATTGATAAAATAAAGAAAGAGGAGAATGAAGGACATATTCAAGAAAGTGAGTAAAAGGTAATAATTTAGTTGGATCATAACATCGAAATATAGGAGGAGTAAATCTAGTAATTAAAAGAACTTCATTTTCACCAAGACAAATCATCTTTTTTAAGAAAGAAATTAAATATACAAAAAGGTGGTTATATTCATCTGGGATAATGAAATTAACTACTTGTAAAAGGGTTTGGTCATTTAATACTAAGTCTGAATCAGTAAAAGAATAAAAAATAACACATTTATGAAGACCTGATAATACTAGTAATAAAGCATCACAATATAATTGAATAGGTCCTGAAATAAATTCTTTTTCTTTATTTAAACATTGAATAACTTCAATAAGTTGTTCTTTAAGATAATTACAAGGATCTTTTTTAATAAAACAATTAGGTTCATAATGTTGAATAATATAATCAATCAATCGATATATTTCTTTTGGAATAAAAAAAGGAATGGGTTGATATTTCTTTTGAATTTTATCATTTGAAATTAATGGCTTATTAAGTCTATTTAATGTTTCTAAGTTCATTCCAATGATATTTGGTGTAGTTTTCAAAACAATACTAAAAGTAATAAATTCATTTCCTTCACCTAATTTTATTTTAATAACTTTCATTAATGAATTTTGTTCTTGATACATCCAAACATATTTCTCATCAATGTATATTTCACAATCAATACTAGCAACATCTTTTCCTTCTAAAATATCTATAAATCCTTCACATTTCTTAATTGAAAGCCATTCATCTTTAAAAAATATTCCATCCCCATTTTCTATTTCATAACATGTTCCAAACTTTCCAATATTTTTTAACTGTATTTTAAATTGATATTTTTCAAATAATTTAACTTGGTCTATAGTAATAATAGAAGGTTCAATTATAATCTTTGGACAAACTACTTTACTATATATTTTTTCTACTTTATCTAAATAATTTATTACTGTTTGTTGTAATTTAATATCAATCTTTTGTAAATCAATATTCATAAAACATGTTACTGGTTTATGATCAGAACAATATAACTCATGACTCATATATTCTTTTACTTCTACATAATGTCTATTTTCTGTTTTCCATAAAACTCTATCACACCAAGAAGGAATTCTATTCTCTTCATATATTCCTTGTTTACCAATTTTAATTTTAAATGTTGGTGCAAATTTGATTGCTGCTTCACAAAAATGATTAAAAACTTTATTTGACTGCATACAATATAATAACTGATCATGTTTTATAAGTCCAAGATAATTTTTCATTTTCATACATTTTCTAACTTCAACATCATCCATATCAATACGATAATTTAAATCTCCCATCCAAATAACAACATCATGTTGTAAGAGTTCAACAACTTTTCTACATCCACTACCAACATCAAAATATCTTATTTTCATTTTACTTATCTCATTCCAATCTTCGTTTCTCTTTTCACAAAAATTTTGATGAGCTGCAAGATGACTTACAACAAAACATATTGTTGAATCATATATTCTCATTCTATAAGCAACACCTCCTTTATTTGCTAATTTTCCACTCATAGCACCAACTCTCATATCTCCATATCCAACATCTGTAATATGACTCTTTAATCTTTCATCAAAAAATACATATAATACAACTCCACAAAGTTGATAATATCCTAGTTCAATATAAGTATTTTGTCCCCTGTTAATTGACTCTTGTAGTAAGGCTTCCCATTGAATTGATTTATCACTAAATTTTTTTCCTGTAATAATAGCATCAAAACTCATTTCTAATTCTTCTAATCCAATCACAATAATGTCTGGTTTGTTTTTAATTCCACTTGTTAATCTATCAATTTCTCCTCGATTAAAAACGCATTGATTAACATTCCATGTACATGCTAATACAGAAATTCTTTCTGGATCAACATAATATGAAAGATGGTCTAATAAATTGTTTTTTCTCCATAGATCTTTGTTTGAAATAAAAGTAGTCATATCTGAATAAAGTTCAATATTAGAAGATATTTCTTCTCTTGTTGGTTCTTTTCCTTCAAGAATCCAACTCATTGGTGCAATTGGTTGAAACTCATTAGTTTTAGGTGTAAATTTTGTAAAAGGAAGTTTAGTTATTTTCATTTGACTTTTAAACATGGGAACTATTGGACTTCTTCTTCTTTTCATTGGAGAAGTTTCTTCTATTAAAATATGTTGGTCTTCCCATTCTAATTCTTCTAAACCAATAGATTCCATAGTATTTTCAAATTGAGTTGATTGAATATCAAGTAGAGTTCTTTTAATTGGTTGTTTAATGCCAGTTGTACCAATATTTGCATCTCTATTTAAATAAATTTGTTTACTTTGTTCTTTTTGTTTTAATTGTTTCATCTTTAAATTAACTGATTGTTGTTGAAAGTAGACTGAATCAACTAAACAAGGATTCCTTGATGGGTTTAGTCTTTTTTGAGGTGTTGGTTGAATTGATTGAGATCGTTTAAATGTACTCACTTTTAAGTCATGACTAATAAATTCATCATTACAAAGTTTTCTTGAAAAGCTATTTGATTGAGATTTAGTCCATTCTTCCTTTCCTTTTACCTCTTTAATTTTTTGACCAAATAATACTTTTCGTTTTTGTTGAAAAATTCCTTTAAAATTTTGGTTCTGTCCACTCTCAATGTCTTCTTTGTTTAGGGTCTTTTTTTTATTTTCACTTTTGTTAATTAAGAATAATGGAGAAAGTTCATCAGTCATCCTCTGATGTGAATCATTCTTTTGTAGTTCCTTTTCATCTTTTTTTCTGAAAATAAAAACTACTTTTTTCATTTTTATTTCATCTCATGGAATCTTCATTCAAAATTGAGTGGTTCAATTTTTGTTATGTTAAAACAAATCTCATTCTGTGATTACTATTTTATATTTGTTTAATTTCTGTCTTTATTTTCCTTCTATTTTTGCACGTAATTTCCTTTGGCAATAATGAAGGTAGTATTTAAAAAAAAGAACAAATAATTTAATGTGTTAAATTAAACATTCTAACAATATACTAGATGAAGAAGTTCGTAGATAAGAATGAAGAAAATTCATTCTCCAATAACCCTCATATTGAATAAATAAAAATAACAAATATTCAATAGAAATTCAAACTGGTTTTAAAAATGATAAGAAATTTTGTTGAGAATGATTAAAGATTGAATCTAAAATATTAAATGAATAATTTAATTTTTTTGAATTAAAATCATTCTTTATTTAATATGAACTATAATAAAATAGTTATGATATGAAAATTAGTATATTAATTATTTTATTATTTTGTTATTTGTATTATTCATATATTATTTTATTTTGTATCATTAATTTATTCATAAAAAGAGAAAATAAATTACTTTTTATTAATTTTATGAAATTATACTTATACTGTTAATGATGTATTGTATTTAATTAACAACACAAATCAGTTTTATTATAATAGAAGTGATAAATACAAAAGAATAATATTTTCAAAAAGGATTAAAAAAAGAAAATATAAAAAAGGTAAAAACAAAAATGAACTAAAAAAGAAAAACAAAACCAAATGGAAGAGATAAAGATTCTCATTATTGGACAAGGATCATTTGGAACATATATTACTGAAAATATTATTAAGCCATTAGGGTTTCATATTGTTGATATTTTGAGAAGTAAAGACTTTAACAAAATCAATTATTATGCATCCCATCAAGAATTATATAATCGTGTATATATTGCTCTTCCTTATGAACTTCATAATCCAATTATTCGTATGTTTCCACCAAATACCACC